GTCAAAATCCATTTGCATCCTACACATCCCTACATCTTATCCAAATATGTTATTAATTAATGAAACATAACAGTATAATCTTTGGATTTACAAAGTTTTATGGCATTTCAAAAGTGTAAAAGTTGCTTTTGAAGCATTTTTCTATAGCCATTTTCAAATCAAATGTAGTGATAGGGCAATCGTAGGCCCTGGTTGTCATTTCATTTCGTTTAATATACCTATTGTACTAAGCCCCGGGTATCAAATTGGCCCTGCCTGATGAGATTGTACGGAATGTACAAACGATCACATTTGAAGTTGTCATTTACCCATTAAAATGTATTCTTATTTCCAATCAAGGATTTGGGTTTACCAATATAACAAGCAAGATTGTCTGTATCAAATATGGGCTCCAGGGCCATCCTAGAACATAGCTAAAATCAATCACGTAATGAACGACGTATAATCACTCATCTACACGTAAAAACCTGTAACTTTCACGCTTACCTGTAGAAAGTAGACTAAACTCATTTTCCTGGGCGCGCATAGAAGTACACGTTCATGCTTTGTTGAATACGCGTCTGTAAATTGCACGAATATGATAATCTCATGTAAAAACCTGTAAACTTCACGCTGGCCCACAGGAAATAAACAAATCCGACGTCATTTATCTGCGCGCGCATTGAAGTTCACGTTCAAGTTTTGTTAAATACGTGTAGCTTAACCTCTCTACTGTGTTAGTCCATGCACACAGCGTATTCTGCTAATACACAACACCCCTCACTTTCATAGTGAAGTGACTAATTGGTTTATGTTTACGTTTTAATGTGTTTTGTGTTCCTTGTTACAGCAAGGGGGGCCAGTAAAGTAGACTAACATGTTTGCATGGCAAGTTTTGATCGAATATGTGAGACTGAGACCTAAACACGTTGTGTTTATGTCGTTTGTTCCAATGAGGTTCGGATAGATGTGTCATCTCATTCCAAACATATGATTCCAAGAACAAAAGAACAATTTGCAGAATTATTTGAAGACTGGTTGAAGAGAAACATGTGTTCAATTCAGTTCAAAATTTTATTTTTCAAAACAAAACATGTTATAAAATACAGAATCCATTTAATATTAATTTTTTGTATCATATTAGATGCTTTTTAAACTTGCTCTCAAGAGGTGAATTATATTCTTGCGTATCATATACATAAATCTCACTTACTAACTCTATGAATACGATTCCAAATGACAATCTGGACTAATTTATATGACTTTTCCAAATCAACGATCCACCATGGTTCCACGTCATTTGATGCTGTATGCGTGCACGATCCTTCTAAATAATCCCCGTCTGTATTACCATCTACGGCGTTGCTAGACTTACCTCTTCGAAAGTCGAGATAGATGCTGGATTGATACGTTGTCTTGTTCACCGCTATATTTGTGAAATTTAGCGTTTTTGAATGGCCTGAAAGAATGCCAAAAGTTTTAAAAATACAAATAGAATCACGTAATAATTAACATATCCACTCGTATTAGTTTAATTTTTGAACAGATTAATTGTAAGTTGTTATAACACTTGAAATTGTATTTTCAAAAAATGCTAATTGGCAATAACAAGTATACTAGTAGCCAGGACAGAACAAGTTACGGGGTGATCTTGATCATATTCATAGTATACAATCCTACCAAAGCAGGCCCGTAGCCAGGGGGGGGGGGGCAAAACATCTTGCAAAATCATGCAGTTTTTCACCATTCTGAGCACTTTTTAAGTGATTTTGGCCATTTTTGGACCAAAATTATCACAAGTGACCCCCTGGAATTTTCTAAAAAGCGAACCCCCTTAGCAAAGTGACCTGCAAAGTGTCTGCTGAATACTTAAGTCACAACACATGAAACACATCTCACCTGATTGAATACGACCAAATCTCCATCCAGATGAATTGCCAAGTGTCATACAATCTACGGCTTCAAATAGCTCACATCTGGAGGAATCGCCGTGGTAGTTAAATCCTTCACATGTTTTGGCGTGCGCGCACATCAGTAGACAATGGTTCAGCGTGCATATGTTCAGAATGGTCTCAATCGGAGTGTCGAATAGTTGAAAATCAATTTTTGGTTTGGCGAAAATCCCCGTTGTCCACTGGTTGCAGGTTATAATCTTAACACAGATTCCGAGGAACACGATAACTGCGGATACTAATTTAGATGTATTCATTCTTTTTGTTTATGTATATCTGTAAGTCCACTTAACACTTTTCTGCTGTTTTAAACAGTCTCGACGAGGTAAGATACAACGAAGTCAGTTCATGAACAAGTTTTTTTCAAAATAACGCGCTGTCTATGTGAGCGAGGACCTTCGTGTGAGAAACAATAGTATGATGCGCGTCATGTATACCATATACGCCTTTTCAACGTCATGACGCTGTCAGATCGATACGTTTTAGAATTGTATGCGTTTCGAACAATATATCATATAATCAATGAGGTAAAATAGCTAATCATCAAGGTTGTCCTTCATGAAGGATGAGGGGGTAAGGTTTTGAATGCATTGTGTAAAAGTAGAGAGAGGTATATACATTTGCCTTCTATCGCAAAGTTAAAAAATCGTTAAAGACTAAACAATTAGTGCAGAGGCGTATCCAACGATCATGTATCTAGTGTCAAAATGTATCGAAGCCTGGATATTTACATCAAGGCTAACATCTATTCTGATTATCTATAAAAGAAACCATCTTGAATTCGCCACTTTGTTTTGTGTGCTATGTCATTTGACCAATCGTCGACGAGGGTTATATTTCTATCATTTTGTTTGGGTCATCTTCAAATTCGTTGATCGAAGTACTATAGCACCATCTAAATACGAATATAAACTTTAAAATGACTTCTGTACATCTTTCTACAACGTTGTGATATCTGTGTTTTTCCTTAAGATCACTGGGCAATTTTTATAATGACCCGGTCTACCTGTAAATAAGTGATTTTTATCTAATGGAAAGCTGAACTCCAAATCATTTTAATTAAATTGCGGCCGGCAAAAAAGTTTGTGTGGATTTTGAAGCACTAGGCGAACAATATTCTCAGGTTCTCACTAGTCTAACTAATAAATCATTCAATCACAACTGATTGTGTATTGAGCCTCATATACAAAGTATAAAAAAGAAATCAAAATGAACTATTAATAATATTTTGTTCTTTTTAGTGATACCTGGGAAAAACCTTATCAAAATATTACGCAATTCACTAGCGCCGCGGGCACACAAAAATACAATCTCAATTTTGATTTTAATAAGTTGAATTCATCCTGCACGCGCGACTTATTGGTATGAAAGATGGTTTTATTTATGTTTGTTGATGAGTAGTGAAATGAGAGAATACAATATTAAATATTACCTAAGTATATGTTATACAGTGCACAGGGAACGGATTATAAGAATTTGTATCAGTGTTTTCTTCAAGTCTGAATTCTACAATGTGAAATATTACAATGTGTTTTGATTTAGTCCAATAGTGAATTTTGTAATGAAGAAATGAAATGCAAAAACAGATTGAAATGTTATGACTTTTACTTATAGTTATATTCAATTTACCACTTGCCTGCAATTAGTAACGAGAAAACTCATCTTGATTCACAAGGTTTCGATTAGACCCAGTGGAAAGCGACGATGAAGAATACTTGTGTATGTATTTCTCCATTTATTTCAATGGCGCCATATTGGATTCTGGCCCAAGGTGATGCCAGTGCATTCTATCGGTCAAGTGAAGAACTAAACCCCAGGGAATTTAGAAACTATACTATCGTGCAATGCTCAGTGATATTCTACATATTTATTGGCAATTAAAAAGCATTCATTATTTCTACATTTTTCATTTAATTTCAATGCAAAATCATTTAAGCAGACTGTGACTTCGAGGAATTTAGGCCAAGATATCCACATAATTTTCAAATTAACGCCTGCTAAATTGATTGGTTTTTATAGCAATGAACCAGAAATATATATGATATATGTTATCTTAGAAATAAACATTATATGTTCGAATCCAAGTTCCCTAAGCGGCCTAAGCCTCGAAAAGTCACATTATATCTCACGATTAGATAATACGTCTAACTTATTTATTTACTAAATCAGGTTTTTTTGTACATCAGAAGCATGTGGATTTAGGTAACATTATACATGTTATATAGTAGGGTTATGTACTGGGAGGTTTTGGATATAGGCTATATCCCGAGGAGTATATTTATATCTACCCGAGGGACCGAAGGGGCCAAGGGAGATATAGATATTTCCCAAGGGATATACCCTATATCCAAAACCGACCGTACATAACTAGTACTGGTGTATCTCATACTTGAGTGGGTTTGGGGTAGATATAACCTTTTCCATCTTTTTCAAATTACAAAATAGGCCTATAGTAAAAGCACATTTTCGTAATATTCCTTTAGTTCAGTACAATATGAAATTGTAACATTTAAACTTTTAAAAAAATTTTAAACTTTTAAACTTTAAAACTTAAACATTTAATTTTTTTTGAATTTATACTTTTTTAAACTTTTGAAAAATTCCTAGGAGCGGGATGGATATGTTATATCTGCCCGCATTTGAACTGGGGCGGGACATATACAATATATCCCGCCCGCCCCTCACACAGATATGACATATATTCCCAGGTGATATCTACACCAAACCCACTCAAGTATGAGATACACATATATACTGGTATAATATATCAACAATAAAACACTCTATTTTCAAACCTGGTCCCTTGATAATAATCTTTGAAAACATTACATTACTAAAGTAATATTACTCAACAGACTAATCGACTTTTTCAATTTAAGATAAGCAGTTTATATAAAAATCTACACCTTGATGTGTTTTTTACATGTTATACAGTTATGTACACAAACTGATCATAGTTGCTTACATATAGTTGTATAGTTGTGTCACTATACATAGTTTTATACTGTTTTAACCTTGACTTAAATCATTGATAGAACAAGGTTATATTTTATGAACTGCCACCTTCTAAAAAGATGGTAAAAGACGGTAAAGAATTGCATTATATTAAATATATTAATAGAACATACGAGCAAGGAATATAGCAATGATAATCAACCATGCCTTTAAGTTCATTACGGAAATTCTTTCCTTTACACAAACATATTCTACATAATGTTGATAACATAATTCAATATTTGTTTTATAATTAATTGTTTAGAGCAAATGTCAGTTTCTCAGATTTATTCACTATCAATTATATATAAGGCTCAATCCACTGGGCTCAGGATTTCTAGATACTAATAAATACATTATTTTGTAGTTCCAAACGTTCCCCATGCTTTAACTTCACTTCTGGTCCATAGAAATGGACTGGAAGCGGGGGGGGGGGGCAATGTTTGCTGTTATATAACCAATTATTAGTATCTAGGAATAATGACCCTGATGGAGTTTATACTATACACAATGAGTTAGTTATAATTTATGGAATTTCCTAGTTTTTAATAGTTCAGGATCTAGTTGGGACGATTACAACTGGAATCTTGGTGTGGTGTACAACGTAATCTGAGACACTTCCCAAAATGGTTCGGCGAATTTTGCCAAGACCTCTGCTACCCATAACAATCATAGTTGCTCCTTCGTCCTCAGCTATCTTGATTATGTGCTCTCCTGGGGAGCCTTTGTTGGGCTGGGATACAACCTTGTAGTTCACCTGAAAATAAATGTGAGAATGCCATAAAAGTCAGGTTTTGGAAATCACCAACAGGGCATCCTATAGCTACAACCGCAGGGGTCAAAGATTTTTCTCTTTTAGGGAAGAAAATTGTTCCTGGACCATGTACCAATTGTTCACAAATATAGAGTATACAAAGCTTAAATTGTTTGGAATAAAATTACAACATTCCTTGATGGTACGTGTGTAAAATGTGAATAAAACACTTGGCCGACACTTGAAGAAGAAATCGTGGTGTGTTGAACTTTAACTTCGCTGTACACATGGACCTAACCGGTGTCCGGTATACAGACTTTGCTACACGAAAACAAGCGGTGCAGATGTCATGTGCGCAATGTGCGGATATTAACGGTTATTTTTGAATTTGAATTTCTGATATATCGTCACTTCTCGGATATCTGTAGATAAATGGAAAATGATTGAAGAGTTACAATTGAATCCATTAATCTTAGTTAATTATCATAGTGTACAGTTCTTTTTCTTACCTTCTTCTGGATGACCTTTTGTGTATAGCTTGCCTCGAGGTCTTGTTGGGCCTTGTTCTGGTCCTGCATGATCTTTGTCCATTCATCATGGGGAACGGCAAGCCCCTCTAAAATAATAAGGACAATTTAATCCCCTTGTAATCTATTTTGAAGGTCGGAACAGGGTTAATGACTAAGCTATGGAATACTACAATTTACAGGGTGGGCCAAAAAATTGGAACATTTTTTCATCCATTGTAACTTTTTTGTTAGTCACGTATTATCTTCAATACTTTAGGAAACTGAAACACAAATAATTGTCAACATTTTAACATTTTTACAAATAATCATTTAAGAAAATTAATTAAACCGAAAAATGTTCAATCCCGTACATATTGGCATTTAGTCCTTTCCCCAATAGGTAACACGTTTGTCCAAATTCGTTGCCAAGAGTGAAAAGTGATTACCATTGACAGTCAGACTGTTGAGTGTTTTGATCCCTTGATTGTATCCAGTGTATAAAATAGCATATTGTGGGGGGGGGGGGGCGTGTAATTTCCTTTCTCAATACAACGATCTCCCTAAATATTAATTCACACGAGCGAAACTGTTGAAATCAGCAAGTCAAGTAATATGATAATTACTTGGTGACATCTTTGTTTTTTTTACTTATTTTTGCTGCCATCTTTCAAATGAAGTATTTTTTTAATTTGATTCACATTTCTCTGTATTTGACATAGACTTCGACTTCAATATACCCGAGGGAAAAATGAGGAGAAAATGATGGAATGAGGCACGATTGCACTGAACGAAATTTTAGGAGATTGTCTTACCTCTAAATGTGAATGCCGGGAGGGAGGCCTGTTCAGGACTGTGTGCAATGATCACAAGGTTGTCATCTTTGTGGATATTGGCAAAATAAACTGGAAATATAAAATATATGTCTCAGTCGCAAAAGTTTATCATTTTAAATCTGTAGTTCAAATGATTGATACACACATAGCTTAATGGGCGTTTGTGTTTTCATTGTTTAGTATGATGAAATGTTTCATTGCTAAAATATCAGCTTTACTTGAAATAGCTTTAAAATTAGTATCGTGTTGCTAAATAAATGTATGAATTTATGTACTTAATGGATGGAATAAATAAATGGATACTAAAATTATCCCAAAATTAGCGAAAGTAGAGGAAATATCCCAGAGTTCATAGGTGAACCTATCTCTAACTAAAGATGAACCTCTCGATGTTTTTCCTATTTCGAGATAGGTTCTATGAAATCTGGGGTATTTCCCCCATATTGCTTACAGTCGAGTGCTTGCTCTGCCGTCTGGCTGGCATCTACTGCTATCAATACTTTTCTTGACATATTGCTTCTGAAAATACAGTGAACATATGTCTGTCAGTTACAGTAAAACCTGTCTAATCCGAACGCTACACGGACCAGCCACATAATATGTTCGGATTAGTATGTGTTAAGATTTCATGGTTCTCTTAAAACGTGAGTTATGGGAAATAACAAAAATTGGGAACGACAATGAGTGTCCACAAAGGGCAACGAATGTGCAAGAGCCAACGGGAACATACCAAAAATGATTACGGAACATAGCAATAAAAGACGAATCTTATGGAAAACAACCCCAAACTATCCCAAACTATAATCCTACATGAAAATAAATTTTATATATACTGGAGATGTTCAAATTGGAGAGATTTTCGGATATATTGGTTTCACTGTAATATGTTCGGAGTTTTGAGCAAGAAATAACCACTCAACAGGCATGATCATTTAATTCAAGTAATCTTCGTTGTATTCCAAAAGCTAGTAAATCACGTAGATACACAAGGCAATAAACAAAACTGCTAGATATTGTGTTTTGTCTATTCCACAACAAAAAGGTGAGACCTTTATTGGCACATATTATTCAACAACCTAATTGGCAACCGATAGCGAGTTACCCAAGATCTAAATGTTGAATAACTTCTGTTGTAGACAATATATCACTTCACTACTTTTACAACATTAAGAAATTACAACTTAATCTAAACTTCATCTTCGTTCACAATTTTGTAATAATTGCTAGTAGCTTAGTACCACGATATACAGGTTGTTCAAAAACCATGACATGTCTATAGTGCGGTCAGATTTTTGGTATTGGGTACCTTAACTAAACCTTCTAAATGAAAAGTTCTCATCACCAAAAAAACAAAAAATAATCATTGGGACTTGAGAATAAATTATTCTATGGATGAACGAAATGTAATAGCATGACATTGCTTAAACAGACTAGCTATAAAAGCTATTGATACCGAATATTATCATTCAAGTCTCTAGCCACCATCGAAGATAGAAGATCGGGAAATGAGAATAGTTCTGCTTCATTAGGATTTGAAATGGCTTTTGACATGAGATGACTTGGTGATGAGTAGTCATGGCGTTCTGTCATGTCTGGTTATGTCAATTAGTCAATGTGCTTATTAGTATAACAAGTTTGATTAATATAGCGTAAGTCCATTCTGATTTAGCAGTCTCTTTAAAATCTAATGTCTGTACTACAAGGGATAGTACAGGCTGTGAATCTCACAATTACAGGTCGAAGTTAGAAATGCCATTTACCGTCACAGATCGTAGCCTTTAGGCCTCCCCTTGGTCAAAAAGAATCTTTCAAAAGCATGCAGTTTTCACCATTCTGTACAATTTCCAAGTGATTTCGAGCCAAAGTTGTCAAATGTGAACCTCCCTGTTTTTTGGAAAAGTGATCCACCCCCCCCCGTAAGCTGGGTATGGGCCTGGAGTCTTCTATGTTTTTATACTCTCAATGAATTTTGAGCAACTCTAAAAATACATGAACACACATTATTCATGTACCTCTTGCGACACTCAAATCAAATCAAATGTTAGATTAGTGTTTTCAAAATGATTTAAGTGGGTGAACGACTGATCGAATTAGTTTAGCTTTACAAATAATGTAAATCTAATTGTTTATTTTAAGGTTAACATTTACTTAAAGATAAAGAGTTCTAAAAATATCTAGACACTTGTACTTTAACGGGTTGGTTAATTACTCTCCAGTAGTTGCATATGACACTCAAGATCAATTAAAGGAGGGGATTTTGTAGCCAATGTGTTCTAAACTTTATACGGGGCCTTTAAAAATAGCAATTTTGTAGCCAACGTGGTTTAAACTTTATATGGGGCCTTTAAAGGTAGGAATTTAGTAGCTAACGTGGTTTAAACTTGATATGGGACCTTTAAAGATAGCAATTGATAGTTTTACATTAGAGGTGAAACCCATGTTTATATGACAACGGCCAGATGCCGACTATTATGTTACAGGCAACGTTTGTTGGTATTTTAGCCAAAATTAATATTCCGGTTTTAAAGAATTATGTTGAGATTGAAAACCGCAAATTTGCTCATTGGTTCAAAAACGGTGTCTATACGTATTTTTCACCAAGAAATATCTGAGTATCTAGAATGGAAAATATTCGATTTAATATAACAGGTTGCATCCCTTTAAGATCTACTCAAGCCAAGTCACCAAAGGCCTCGGTGTATCATTGATTGAGTGGAACCAGTGGCAATGACGAAGTATATATTTGGAGAGTGTTTGTTGATAATGATTACAACAATCTTGAAATACTTCTATTAATGTACAAATCATTGATAAACATTAAATAAACACAGTGCACCTTTCCTAAATGCGTTTAATTAACGCAACCTGCCTAAACCAGTGTTGGATTGACCTACAAGGTCGAATAACCCTTGAAGCTATTTAATGTGTTTGTTTACAAAAACAACTCAACGGAAAAAATCATATCAAATTTAAATATGTGATATTAATAAATCTGAAATGAACAGATGAGGGGTTATTGATTTTATATGTTTATCTTATCATATTAGCGAAAGTATCATAGGTCAAGATATATAAATCTAATTGATGGATTTCATACGTAGTTGTGTTCTATTTATAAATTGAGTCAACCGTTTGCCAAACTGTCTAAAGGACATTTTCTTACTTTCGAACCAACCGAGCCAAGACAAGGTGAACCGATGTAACCCATGTTACCCAACATTAATTCATAAAAAGAGTTCACTACTCATCAGTTGAGGCCCTGAGTAAGATATGAATGTTTAAAAGCATGTAGCCAAGTTAGACTGTTATATCTATGTAGTTTTCTTTGTGTATTGAAATATTTAATAAGATTTGAATACTCAGTCTTGACAAGACTAAAGCTTATGAAGATGGATGGATGGATGATAACTACACAAGAAACGTGATTTTAAAATAATTTCTGTTTTTCCAGGGCCTCAGATCATCAACGAGAGTAATCAAAGGCATTACCCTTTTCAAGTTCCATTCCTGTTCTTTTAGCGATGGATTCAAGTCAACGTTTCGAATGGTATCCTTTGTATTCGCAGTTACCGACAATGGACTAGGAAGGTGCGACAGATCGGCTGGGGTTGGAGAGGCGGGGAGGGGGGGGGGGGGGTAAACGGTTATTTTTTAATTTATCACAATGGTTGCGTTTAAAATGTAAACGTTTTGTGTCTTTAAAATCTATGATACCCTGGAATGTTTCGAGCTCCCTATTTTTATAGAATTTTAGACAAAATGAGACTTTTTAATAATTTAGACTTTTCCTTATTATTGATTTTTGATAACCAACCAGGTCGGTTTTTCTCGCTGCAGCCCTAGCAAAATTAAACAGATTTCTTAGTCACCAGGGATATAATTTTATGAATCCACTACATGATATTGACTATTGATACCCACGAGTTGTGAATTGCACGTCATTTGAATCATTCTAGTCTTGCTTCAGTTCTCTATCTCTCTATTTTCTTCATGGTGTGTAATGTGAGGCGGTCACAAGTGGTTGAAGCTAGACATGAATCTTTCCTTTTGTAGGAACACTATTCAAAAAGTGCATGTTCCAAAGAGAAGTTAAAACGAGCAAGAAACGACGTCAGATACTGTACATCGCGGCATTTTACAGCATTTTTACATGCGTACTTACTTTTAAAACCGCAATATCTCGACAGCAAAATCATATTTTTCTACAACTTTTCGTCATCAGTTGAACACGCATGTCCACGAAATATTTTGCCTATCAGAATTCCAAATAACTGATTTGGGACTTTTTAAATGAGAATCACGCAAGCCATATTATGCGACTTTCTATGCTAAAACCGGGTGTGGACTGTAACATTTTGAAGAAAAATGATTTTAATTTTAAACGAAAAATGAAGATAACTTTTTCATTTCTTAACGGATCTTTCTCAAATTTTCACAATATTTAAATTCACCATTTTGGAAAAGACAAACAGATTCTGTGTGATGACGTCATAATATAACAATGCTAACTTAACGCTTATATTTATGCAAAAAAAGTGTGGACAGGCAGAATTTCGTACCAACAAGATATATATTTTGATCAATTAAACATTAAATCGTTTGAAAGGTGAATTATTCTTTTTTGATTCCTGAAAGGCATATCATATTCTATATTTTTATCAAAAAACTATATCATTTCGATTAAAATTCAGTCTGTAAGAAGTATAAATTGAAAGAAATATGAAGTGAAGCCATGTGAAAAATTCAGAAAATTACGTTCATTTTTTGAGTTCAAATATTTGTAATTAAGGGATAAACATTCAAAACTTTCCAATGTTTCAGCATGTTCTTTTAAATATACCCCTTACTACATACAATTAATTTCATTTAATTTGAACCAGTATATATTGAGATAGACATCATTTTATCACCGCAACTCCAAGTGAAGCCTTTACAAAATAAGACGTTACGCCGTTAGCGTATTATATGTTCTCCTTTATTATTCATTGCTTTAAATAAATAAAACTAAATATTCGAGTTAAAATAAATTACAAATAATGCATTTAACAATCCCTAATATCTTCCCGTCTGTGTATATCAGTTGAATATGACAAGGGGCACTGTGAAAGAGTCTAGAAAGACGGTGCGACAACGAGAGCGCAGGGCCGAAAAGCGCGACAAAGAAGAAAACGGGTAGGGTTTGTGTGACCGGGGGCAAGGTCGACGTGGGTTTATATTAGCAAAATAAGCACAAACGCAACAGTATATATGTTTATCAGTCAAATGGGTATATTCATTTCAATCACATCACAACAACGGGGAGTTGGAGTTCCCTGAAAGTACAAAAGGTACCATAATGTGTATCAACTGTAATACACGCAATACATATAAGCTACAATGGTACCAAAATATGTGTGAACTATAATACTCATACTACAAACTAACATTGTTCAGATGCTTTGAAGCTATAACCTTACATTATTCACTATTTAAAATACATGCAACTGGCATATAAAATACATCAACATACCCTCGTGGAC